GCAGGGGGGTTGGACTAGATGGCCTTGAGAGGTCCCTTCCAACCCAAACTATTCTGTGATTCTAAATCGCTGTGGCAGGGTGAGGGGGTCTGGGACCACCGGGATGCCCCAACCCTGTCCCAGTGACCCACGCGAGCCTGGTGATGAAGGAGGTCTCTCCTTGGCACCCACCACACATCTCGCAGGAGGTCTGCACCGGGTCAGGGGCTGTGGAGGGGAGTCTGGAGGAACAGAGCAGACCCTGCACTCCCATCCACGGAGAGGAAGCAGGAGAAGGGAGCGGTTATAGGCCCATATGTAGGCTATAAGTTACCAGATGCAACAAGCATGCAGCAGAGATCGGCAGTGAGAGGCTGCTTGGGGTGTCCCTAGATGAGCCTGGCCCTACCACAGGCTCCCCACAGCCCACCGCACCAACGCTCTGGTCCAAAAGGGACCTTCGTGTCCCCGTCTGACGCGTGCCCCGCTCACCGATTCCTGCACCGGGGCCCTGGCGTCCAGGTCTGTGCTCACGGCGGTGGCAGCACCGAGCAGGAGAGGCGGACTGCCACCGACAGGCGGGCTCGGCGCGTCGGCGCAGCCAGTGGAGCGCGCGGAGCAGGGTTCGGCCCCGGGGACGTCGTCGGGGCACCGATGGAGGAGACGGCGGGACAGGCATTGCTGGCTGCAGGAGGGAAGGAGGCAGTAGCAGGAGCCGGGGGACCTGAAGGAGCCAAGACAATTAGCGAGCCGGGACATGGGGGGAAAAGCCGAGGAGGCAGAGGATGAATGTGGGGCAGAGCCAGCCCCTCGCGTGCCCCTGCTCTGTCCCCCCGCTGGCCCAGCCCACAGCACCCCTTCATTCATCTTTCCATCTCCCCACCAGACGAGAAACCCAGCCCACCACCAACCCAAGCACGTTCGAACAAGGACCCCGCCATCCCCAGGCACATCACCGGGGTGAGGGACATCCCTGGGGACGGTCACAGACACCGCCAGGCCCCTGGGAAGCCGGGGCAGGGAGAGAGGCCAGCTGCTCGGCGGACACCAGGAGACGTGGTTCGGGTCCCCACCTCCACCAGACCCCCGGGGCAGCACCCAGGGACGAGGAGGCTACGTACGGGCTTGCCAGGAGTCATACACGTGCTGCAGGTCGTCGGCCAGGTGCCCCGCGTTGTTCTGGCGCAGCGCGTTGATGAGATCCGTCACCCAGCCCTGCCGGCACTTCTGGTGCTGATAAAACCTATAGACGGTCGCCTGGCTCCCCCGCGTTTCCTCCCGGGTGTGAAGTTCATCCTGAATAAAACACGCAGGGCATCTAAGAGAGGGTCTGGCTTAGAGGTAAGGCAGCTGTACGTTGCCTG